AATAATATTAAGAAACTATTTTTGATCAGCAGGTTCATGACAATATTTTTGACCAGGAAGTAATAGAAAAAATAAAAATTTAGGTTTTTGATTCTCAGGTTCTTAACAAAATGCTCTTAAGAACTTCTTGGTCTTTTCTTAGAAAATCTACGATATTTAATTTGGAGGTCCTTGAAAAATTCAAGATTTTTTATTAGGACGCCTTTTTTAAATATATGTTCTTGTTTTTCTATTAAAAAGATACGAGAATAACGTTGTAACGATTTAAATAAAATCCTTTTATTATAATTCGCTTTAGATACTGGCTTCGAAATATTTATTAGATTTTACAAAAACAAAAAATAAATAAATAAATAAATAAATTAATAAATAAAAATAATAAATAAATAAATAAATAATAATAATAAAAACAATAAAATAATAATAATAATAATAATAATAATAATAATAATAATAATAATAATAATAATAATAATAATAATAATAATAATAATAATAATAATAATAATAATAATAATAATAATAATAATAATAATAATAATAATAATAACAATAACAATAATAATAATAATAATAATAATAATAATAATAATAATAATAATAATAATAATAATAATAATAATAATAATAATAATAATAATAATAATAATAATAATAATAATAATAATAATAATAATAATAATAATAATAATAATAATAATAATAATAATAATAATAATACTAATAATAATTTAAGAAAATATATTTTATTTGAAGGAAGCGTTTAATGCCATGTTGTTTTTTTTTAATTATACACTATATTATAATTTTTGGAAATAAAATTTGATATTTTCTATTTCACTATTTCACAAAAAAGCACCATCCTCCTCTGAATAAAAAAAAACAATTTATAAATCTTTTTTTTTTTGTTTTAAAAGTATAACAAATTGTACGAATACATGTTGTTTTATGTGCATTAAAGCACAAAAATTAAATAATTATTATATAAATTCCCTTATTTAAAAAAAAATAATAAAAAAGAATACAAAAAAATAAACAAAGTATATTTACAATTTTATTGATTAATTAATTGCTAGTGTGCCTTGATATAATTAACTATGCTTATAACAGAAATTAAAAAAAGAAAAAAAACAAAACAAAACATCTGGAAAGTAAATAGATGGCGATTTGAAATAACGAAAATAATTAAAACGATAGCAATAAAATGAGCACCATAAATTATTAAAATTAAAAGAAACAAACCAAAAAATAATAAAAGAAAACAAATATTGAAACCAAATAGATACAAACTAATTTTCAACACTTTGAACTTGTTAAACTTGAAAACTAGAAAAGAAAAACAACTACAAAACTATGGGTTTCTGTAATAATTATTATATATTTTTTTAATTTCTTTCTTTTCTTACACTTATTAAAAAATCACACTTTTACATACATATTGTTGATTTATATATAAATTTAAATGTTAAATATATATTTTTTCTTGTAGATTTTTGAAAATTAATTTGATAAATATTTTAAAAAATAAATATTTCATCTATAAATATAAAAGAATATAATGATAATAATGATAATAAATAAAAAAAGAAAAAAAAAAAACAACAACAAAATTCATAGCAAGCATATTCATCACAGCTCAAAATGTAATCAGACTCCTATAAATATTTCACATTTTCTTTCTATCAATCATTTGCATTCACAATTGGTTAAGAAACATGAAGACATCTTTCATTTTCCTTCCTAACACTGGTCCGTATTAAAAAAAAACATGAATTCCATCGAAAAGTTTATGTTGTATCCTTATAAAAAAAAATGTGTATATGTGCAATTTAATACAGATGTTTAAAAAAATAATATCTTGAGCAGTTTGTAAAAACAATATATTGAAGAAAACTTGGGAAGTGTTTGGATTTAAAAATAAAACAGTTTTTGATTGAACAAAAAACAAAACATACCTTTTTTGACATTTAATAGCATTTTTTATGAAACATTTCAAATTGAGGAATTACTTAATTGTTTCTATGGGAAGATAATCTACGAATTATCATCATTAAAGAGATATATAATAATATGAAGAAAACCGGTGAGAATAGTGTTGATTGAATAATTGATTTTAATTAAAATGCAGGCTACTTTAAAAAATATGCAAAATTTTTTGCATATGTCAAACTTATTTATTTAGGCATATAATTCTACCAGGCAAATTGTTTGTTATAAGAAAAAAAAGTGGTTTGGGTTGCTCTACGGGAATCATTGACCAAATACTTTTGATAAACAATTCACGATATTTTATCCTAGAAGTTCTTAATTATCATAAAATTCTAAAAAAAAATTAATTAAAACAAATAAAAAAATATTAAGTTCGGAAGGGTCGAACTTTTAATATCCTCCATTTCTTTAAAAAAAGTATCTCAATTCAAACTGGAAATACAAATTTTGAGACAAAACCGTGGGAAAATGTTCGAAAAATCATCAAAATATCGTATATCGGGAGGTACTATTATATGGCGGCTATAAAAAAAGGTGGTTTCATTTTCAATACCAACCAACCTAGATGCAATACAAATTCTTCTGCTAAATTTTGAAGCTCTACGTCAAATAATGTGGGCTGTATCGGATTTCAACAGACAGACAGACGGACATCATTAAATCGACATTGAATTTAATGCTGATTGTAAATATATATACTTTATGTACAACGAATATGGGGAATGGGATGAGGATGTTACCAACGGAATATCATAGTTAATATACCGATTTTTAATCAAAAGGGTTCTTGATATTGGATTATCGACTAGGAGGTCTTTAAAAAAATGAAAAATAAAATGAAAAGCAAGGGTGTATTACAAAGGGATAAACAATTGTTTTGGTTCGAAAATCCTCGTAAGAGCCTTGACTAGGAGCCATTTGAGGTCTTTGACTTTGAATGTTGAAAAATTCTCGGTATTTGCTCGGATGTTTTTGAGAGAGATATTTAAAGAAATCCACAATTTTTGATCAGGAAGTCCTGAAAAAAAAAATTCTTAAAAATCATTTTTTATCAGGTAGTTCTTGAAAATCCTCAATCTATGAACAGAGTGTTCTTTACAGAGTATTGTAAATAAACATACAATTTCAGGCCAAGAAGTCCTTGAAGAAATCCACGTTGATCGGCAAGGAGGCTTTTGAAGAAATATTTAAAAAAAATCCGGATTTGTGACTAGACTTCCTTTAATATTTTTTAAATCTAGACTTTTTGATAAAAAATAAACTTTTTGAAAAATATCCTTAAAAAAATATGCGGCTTATATGTAATCGGAAAGTCCTCAATTTAATTAATTTTGGCCAGGAGGTCTTTGACTTTGAATATTAAAAAACTTCGCCGTATTTTATCAAAAGCTTTGAACAAATTTGATTAAAAATCAAATATTTTTGATTAGTAGGTCTTTAAAAATAGGCTTAGAAAATTCGTATATTTTGGTCAGGATGTTCTTAAGAGATATTTAAAGAAATCCACAATTTTTGATAATGAGGTCCTGAAAAAAATCCCATTTTTTGATTAGGTAGTCCTTGGAAAGTATTTAAGATTTTCAACCTGTAGGTCCTTGAAAATCCTCATTCTTTGAACAGAGTGTTTTTCACAAAGTATTCTAATAATACAATTTCGAGCCAAGAAGTCCTTGAAGAAATCGAGGATGTTTGATAAGGGGGTTTTTGAAAAAAATATTTATAAAAAAATCAGAATTCGGGTTATAATTCTTTTAACAAACCTTCAAAATATCAAAACTTTTTTTAATAAAAACAAACTTGTTGAGAAATATTCATTAAAAAATACACGGTTTATATGTAATCGGAAAGTCCTTAATAATATCTTTAAATGTCAACTACTTTCAGCTAGGTGGGCTTCAAAGGGATAAACAAGTTTTGGTTAGGAAGTCCATGTAGTCCTTGACAAGGAGCCATTTGAAAAATCATAAAAATCAATTATTTTTGGTTAGGAGGACTTTGACCTTGAATGTTTCAAGAACTCGCGGTATTTCACCAAAAGCTCTTTGAACAAATTTTATTAAAAATCAACATTTTTTGATTAGGAGGTCTTTAAAAATATTTTTAAAAAATTCCACTTGTTGGCCAAAATGTCCTTCAAAATATACTCTTAAAAATTTAAAAATTTGGTTAAGATGTTCAAGAAAAAATGCTTAGAAAATTCAAATATTTTAGTCAGATTGTTCTTGAGAGATATATTTAAAGAAATCCAAAATTTTTGATCAGGAAGTCCTGAAATAAAATTCTAAAAATCCCATTTATTGACCTGGTCGTCCTGGAAAGTTTTCCTAGAACTCAAAGAACTTTCGAACTGCAGGTCTTTGAAAACCCTCTACCTTTAAACAGACTGTTCTTCGAAAAATATTCTAAAAAAATACAATATTGGGCCAAGAAGTCCCTTAAAAAATCCACGATGTTTGGCAAGGAGGTTTTTGAAAAAATATTTAAAAAATAAGATTTGCGAAAGGAATCCCTTTATTTTTTTAAATCCAAACTTTTTGTAAAATATGCATTAAAAAATTCACGGGTTGTATGTAATCGTAAAGTCCTTTATAATATCTTTAAATTTCAACGACCCACAGCCAGCGTGTGTTTCAAAGGAATAAAGAATCTTTGGTTAGGAAGTTCTTGTAGTCCTTGAATAGGAGCCATTTGAAAAATTCATAGAAATTAATTATGTATGATCTGGAGGTCTTTGACTTTGAATGTTTAAAAAATTCTCGATATTTAATCGAAAGCTCTTTTAACAAACTTTATTAAAATTCAAAAATTTCCGATTAGGAGGTCTTTCAAAATATTTTTAAAATATCCACTTGTTGGAAAAATTACCTTTAAAATGTGCTTTTAAAAATTCAACATTTTTGGTCAGGATGTTCTTCAAAAAAGGTGCCTAAAAATTCGAATATTTTGGTCAGGAGTTCCTGGAGGTCCTGGAAATCTAAAAAAATCTAAAAATTTTTTTCTAATTTTTTTGTTTAGTCCTTGGAATGTATTCCTAAAACTCAAGGATTTTCGAAATGCAGGTTCTTGAAAATTCTCAATCTTTGAACAGAGTGTTCATAAAACGAAGTCCTTAAGAAACCCACGATGTTTGACAAGGGGGTTTTTGAAGAAATATTTATTAAAAATCAGCATTTGTGAATCCTTAATCTTGTTTGTTCAAAAAAGTATTCTAAAAAAATACAATGTTGTGCCAAGAAGTCCTTAAAGAAATCCACGATGTTCGGCAAGGAGGTTTTTGAAGAAATATTCATTAAAACAGTCATTATTTGTGACCAGAATTCCTTTAAATGTTTTTTTAAAAAAAACAAATTTTTTGATACTATTTAAAAATCCAGAAAGTTCTTGAAAAAATTCTAAACAAAATTCATTGAATATAACCTTGGTCCTGGAAAGCATAGTCTTAAAAAATCCACGGTAGCAGAAGAAGAAAAATATGAATTAATAATTAATAATATATATTCGTCCAATTTGCTTTAATTGTGTACCAAGCGTGCAATATCAGCCCAAATAGTAAGTAATTTTGCACATTCGACCAGATTATACCTGAAAATAAGTATGCCAAATTTTATCGAAATCGGTTCAGATATAACTTTAGCTCCCATATATACTGTTCATCCGATTTGTTATTTTTGTCCTCCGCCCTCAGTAACAAGGTTATTTTTGTCCTATGCCCTCTGTAACAACGTAATAGTATGTCCTCTGTTACCTTTGCCAAATTTTATCGAGATCAGTGTAAATTTGGATATTGCTCCCATTTATATCTTCCAATTTTTCCTGTGGAAAAATCCTTCTAAGAACTTAAGGATTGTTTTCTTTAAGAAAAAAAAAAAATACCTTTCAGGGATCTTACACATTTTTTATGTGATCTTAGGATTTTTTCCTAAGGAAAAAGTGTCCTCAGGTTTTCAATAGAAAGTGGTGTTCTTAAAACCACCGGGATCTTGGGATTTTCCTACTAGAAAAAAGTGTCCCCTGGGAACTAAAGAAGTTCATCCAATAGTAGAAATTTCTAAAAGGACCTGAAGAGTTTTTTTCCATTTCCTAAAATCTATTTTCCGCATATATAATTAAAATGTTCTACTTTCGTATACAGGCGAATTGTTGTCAAAGACCAGTGATTAGGATGTCATTTTTACAGTCAACTCAACCATAACAACAAAAAACAGTTGTTCAAACAAAATTTCACCATTTTCAAACCGATGTCAATCCAATCACACCACCATATTCGCCAGATCCATTTCATATATGCATAATATACCACAGATAGAATGATACGAAAATTCGAAATCAGATTCAACAAAACATTTATTTTCAAATTCGTACGATTTCATTTCCAAAAACCGCAACAAAATTCAATTCATTCAATTTACGAAAATATCTTTTGTACCTAAACGAAATGCAAAACAAAAATGTAACGTGATCATCAAGGACAAAAAGAAAAGCTACAGCAACAGCAGCAACAACAACAAGGATAAATGAAATCAACAACCAACAAAAACAAATGTTGAATTAAAAATAAAACGAAAACAAAATGAAATCATGTTTTTAATTTTTAACAAGTACTGGATCTGTGATATGTATTAAAAAAAAATAAAATTTAAAAAAAAAATAAAATATTTTTTAAAAATTAACAAAAAAAGATAATTATAAAAAGTCATATAAAATGTTATTAAATGTGTAATTAAGTGAATGTTACAGAAAAAGAAACAAAAACAAAACAATGATGAACTTTTACAAAACAAAAAAAAAGTTGGCGAGTGGTTGGATAGAAAAACAAAACAGATACACACACACACACTTACATTGCGTCGAAGGCTAGAACGAATAGAGACATTTAATGTCAAACGAAAAGGAAAAGGAAACGGAAGCAAAAAGTTCACTAACATAAGCTTTATATAGACATAAAATATTTATGTATTATCAAATAATGAGTAAAAACAAAACAACAACAATTTAAAATATGTGATTAAGGAAACAGCTAAGCAAAACAACCGAAACTACCGAAAAAGGTACCAAACAGATTTAGGAAGGAAGTGTTTTATTTTGGATGTCATCGAGGTCAAAATAGAATGTTTGTAGAGTATATTTTTTCAAAATTCTATGAATTTTTTTATAAAAAACAAACGAAGATGTGTAATGAAAAAAAACCAAATAATGTTTTGCTTGTTAAGAATTTTATTGTTATTTTTCGATCTCCCACGTATTTAAAATGGACATTTCAAATTTATATCTCTCTGTACTACAAAAATTAAAAATTGAAGCATATGCAATTTGAATTTATTTATTGAATGTAAATTCATTTAATTTTGAGTGGAACTTTAAAAAAAAAATAATTTGGTAATTATTTAAAGTTGAAAATGCGAGGTTAGAAATAGAATATTTAACACATTTTGTAATAAAAAGTATGATATGGACAAAAATGTGATAAACATCTTAAACCTTCCGAATAGCAGGGGACCTAGTGGCCTAGTGGAAGACCCCTTTCTTTTGGTAGGAAGTTAAATCACAGACTTTTATACCCTCCATCATACTATGGAGGGTATATTAATTTTGTCATTCCGTTTGTAACTCCTCGAAACATTCATGTCAGACCCAATAAAGTATATATTCTTGATCAGCGTAAAATTCTAAGACGATTAAGCCATGTCCGTCTGTCTGTCTGTGTGTCTGTCTGTTGTAATCACTCTATATTTCGAACAAATTGAGATAGAAGGCTAAAATTTTGCACACATGTATATTTTGCCAGTAGGCAGGTTAAGTTCGTAAATGGGCCATGTAGGTCCACGTTTTCATATAGCCCCCATATATAAGTACCTCCCGATATTCGGTATTTTTATGATTTTAGCGACATTATTCACCGGAATTGCATCAACTTTGGTATTTGAAGTTCGAAATGAATACTACAGCCTGTGACAGAAAATTATCTGTGCAGGTCCACGTCTTCGTATAGCCCCCATATAACGGTACCCCCCCATATCCGGTATTTTGATGATTTTAGCGACATTATTTAACGGAATCATTCCAAATTTGGTATTTGAAGTTCGTAATAGATACTGCAGCATAATACAAAAAATGTATGTCCACGTCTTCGTATAGCCCCCATATATATTATTTTTCGTAGGCTGTAGAACCGACCAAGAGCTTAAAATTCGAAATTTGAAATATCTGCCTGCAGACAAAAGATTGATCTGTCTGTCTGTTTTTATGTGTAAAATTATTATTTCTATGAGTTACAAACGGAATGACGAAGATAATATACACTCCATACTATGTATGGTGGAGGGTATAAAAAGGGTACTAAAATGCCAAATGTAGTAAAACTTAAATGTACAGCGTCATGGTATTATCATTGGAAGGATGATACTGGGTCTTAAAAAAAGCGAACTTGAATGGTACTAAAAGTTACTCCGTCCTGTGATATTGGATTCATCGAATTATTGGAATTACTCATGGTGTGTGGGATCCCTCGGATAGAACGGATAGAGTCTAAAATTTAAAGAAAATGTGGATTAGGAACAGAAACTGTAATTTGTAATGGTGATCACTGTTGTCGTGTATTGTTGGCTGAGGCTGTACTTTTCTTTTAAATTATGGATGAAGGGTTACCAAAGTGGTTAAAGGTATTAAAAGCTTTGACATGGTATTATGTGAATGCAATCTTTGCAAAATACAACAATGCACATTCCGAATCGGTTTAGTTCATATCATTGACATGTTCATGGACCCTCAAGGTGGAAAGTTGAAGCCCCGGCCAAAGACAGAGAAGAAACTGTAGGGCCCTGCCGAAGCCAGGCTATTTTTAAAAGATAAAAAGTAAAAAACAGTAATTTCGGCCGGGCCGAACTTTAAATACCCCCCATCAAATGGTACAAATTTGAAAATTTAAAAAAAAAATCAATTAACAATTCTGTTAAAATCTTAAGAATACAGAATGTAGGAAGTTACCGTTATATTGGGGTCCATATGAAGACGTAGATGTGCATAGGCCATTTTTGTCATAGTCATTGTAGTATGCATACGAAATACGAATACGAAACTTGAAACGATTCCGGTGAATAATGTCGCAAAAACATTAAAATACCGAATATAGGAAGGTACCGTTATATGGGTGCTATACGAAAACCTGATCCTGCATAGACAATGTCCTGTCACAGGCTGTAGTACCCATTATTAAGTGCAAATACGAAATTTGAAATGGTTTCGGTGAATAATGCTGCAGAAATCAGCAAAATACGGAATGCAAGGAAGCGCCGTTATATGGGCGCACACAGTCTGTAGTACTTATTACGAACTTTAAATACGAACATATGGGGATTATACCAAAACGTGGACCTATACATACAATGTTTCGCCACACGAACTAGGACCCATTATGACCCACAAATACCAATTTTTAGACAAATCAGTGAAAAAATGTGGTAAAAACCATCAAAATACCGAATATCGGGAGGTACCGTTATATGGGGGCTATACCAAATCGTGGACCCATACATGCAATGTTTCGCTACCGGAGCTGGAACCCATTATGCCCAAAAAATTCCAATTTTTAGACAAATCCGTGGCAAAAATAATCAAAATACCGAATATCGGAATGTACCTTTATATGGGGACTATACCAGAACGTGGACCAATATATCTCATTTTCAATACCAACCATCGTTAAATCGACTTAGAATTTTATTCTGATTATGAATATATATATATTTTATGGGGTTTACAACGAATATTTAAGGATTTTACAAACGGAATGACAAAGTTAATATACCCTCCTTTCCAAGGTGGAGGGTATAATAATGTCGCCAAATCATGAAAATACCGAATATAAGGAGGTACAGTTATGTAGGGGGGCTATACTTAAACGTGGTCTTATACGGCCCATTTTCAATACCAAAAGTCCTGCAGACCAAACACACATTTGAGTAACATTTTAGCAACCTACTTCAAAAAGATCCCCAGGCGCCGAAAACATAATTAAACACGATGACGTGTTGATGTGGATGTAATACTTCAAATCACAGGATTGAGAGAGAGAGAGAGAGAGTCCAATGCCAGCAACGGGCAAAGTTAAAGAGAGGATTGCGTTAAAATGGATTACTACAAAAAAAAAGAAAACAAATACTCCTTTTTTTCGACTTTTTGTGACCAAAGAACCTCTACTTATTTCATGCGATTACGATTGCCAAATATTTATAGGAAAACTATTGCTAAGTAATGGACGTTTGTGCTGGCATGGGAGCCTTTTGATATTATATTATTCGGTACGAAAACTGTACAAAATACCAAACCATAAGAAATAAAAAAAAAAATCC